CAATAGGAGGTCACCGCCGACCTGGTAATTTTCAGCGATCGGCCGTTTCAAGTGCCACCGCAAGCAGCCATGCCAGATCCGTCAATCCCACATGTGGATCTGCGCGGCCTCGTCCATCTGGCCTCGCATGTTGACCTCTGGCGCCGCCCCGTTCCCTGCGCACGTTCGTGCGCCCGGTCTGTGTGTGGGGGGGGGGAGGGGGGTGCCGCCATGCCCAGTATGGCCGCAACCCATGGCGCTACCGGCAACAAGCAGCAGAACCTCGTTGCCCTTCTCCTTCCTTTTCTCACTCGTTTTCTTCGTGTCTGAGTGTGCGTTTGTTCTCCCATAGGTTCAAGCCACCATGGACATAGCGCCCTGAGCACGGGACGAGCATATCCTACCCATCTGCCCCGCCGCTGGTTGCTAGTGCCTTCCCGACCTCCATCCCGACCGGATCCGATCCAGCCCAAGTCTCCTATAGACGGATCCGCCGTCTTCGCCGCGCCCACATACCCCGCGCCGATCCCGGCCTCCCCATGCGTCGCGCTGCCTCCCCCTTGCAGCTTCACCTCATCCATTGCCCCCTCGTGCCCTCTGGCCCAGATCGCCCAAGTCGTCGGCCTCCCCGCCTTTCTGCTGGACCACCGCTTGCTGACGCTACTATCACTTGCCCGGTGACAGAGGGAGAAAGAAAGGAGAGAGAGAGAGAGAGTGATTTTTCTATCTTGCTTTTTTCTATGTGCTTGGGACCCACCTGTAAGTGTCATGTTTTTGTCTCTCTTTTTTTACTAGAGTTCTAAAGAGGGGCAAAATTGTCTAGAAAAATGTCTGACTAACGGTCAAACCCCTTTGACTGGACGGAATTGGGACGGAAGGGCAAAAGCATAAGGGGGCCAGAAGCACTTGGGCAAGACCAAGGGTTTTTCAAAATTAGGGGCAAACCGGCCGAGTGGGACGCAACTAAGGGCATAAAATTATTTATCCCATAATATTAATAATTATCATTCATGTGATGAATTTTTTTATCTAAGAATCTGAATTGATATATGTACATAAATGCATATTATTAACTTACAAAACATATGGTACATATTTCATTGTCTCCTTCTCATTAATTATATAGATTTCAATGTGTTAATGTCGTACTCCCTCCGTTCGGAATTACTTGTCTCGAAAATGGATGTATTTAGAACTAAAATACGTCTAGATACATTCATTTCTGCGACAAGTAATTCCGAACGGAGGGAGTATAAAATATGTCAATCATTTACTGCACAAGAAAATCTTCATAATTGCCACAAATTCATTGGGAGAAATCATACCAATGGGATTGATTTACTTATACTCTACTCCATCATTCCTAGATATAAATCAAATGTTATCCCTAAATAAATGTTGACAAGGATATGGTATCTAGATTCTACCAACCAAAAGGAGAAGGAGCCCCATTTCTTGTTGGGCAATGCCAGATCAATAGGGCAAGCCCACCTAATACGGCCCGAGTTATGTAACTCTACATCGATCAATGTACAAAGTGGGCTAGGGAAGGGTCAACCCTAAAAGCTTGACATTTTTTCATCATGTAAACCTTGAATGGTCAATATTTTATAATGCGTAAAACATCCATATATGTAAGCTTCCGATCCTATCACAATTTTAATAATTGGGATAATTAATTTGGTACTTTAGTTGTGTCCTCCTTCGCAGTTTTGCCCCTAATTTCAAAAAACCCTTGGTCTTGCCCAAGTGCGTTTGGCCTCCTTATCATTTTGCCCTTCCGTCCGGTCAAAGCGGTTTGATAGTTAGTCAGACATTTTTCTGGACAATTTTACCCTTCCCCTCTCTCTCTGTGCATCCTCTCTCTGCAGGTAATAGGAGGTCGCCTCCGACCAGGTAATTCTCAGCCACTGGCCATTTCGAGCGCCACCGCGAGCAACCGTGCCAGATTCGTCGATCCCACATCTGGATCTGCGCTACCTCGTCCATCCGGCCTCGCACGTTGACCTCCGGCGCCGCTCCGTTCCCCGCACACGTTCGTGCGCCCGGTCCGTGGGGGGTGTGCCCCGCCATGCCCAGTGTGGCCGTAGCCCATGGCGTTGCGGCAACAAGTAGCAGGACCTCGCCCCCTTCTCCTTCCTTTTCTCACTCGATTTCTTCATGTCTGAGTGTGCGTCCGTTCTCCCGCAGGTTCAAGCCACCATGGCCATAGCGCCCTTAGCCCGATACGAGCATATCCTGCTCATCTGCCCCGCCGCTGGTTGCTAGTGCCTTCCCGACCCCCATCCCGACCGGATTCGGTCCAGCCAAAGTCTCCTGCAGACGGATCCGCCGTCTTCGCTGCGCCCGCATACCCTGCGCCGATCCCGGCCTCCCCTGTGTCGCGGCGCCGCCCCCTTGCAGCGTTGACCACGTCCACCGCCCCCTCGTGCCCTCTGGCCTAGCTCGCCCAAGTCGCGGGCCTCCCCGCCTTTCCGGTGGACCAACGCACACCGGCGCTGCTGTCACTTGCCCGACGACAGAGAGAGCAAGAAAGGAGAGAGAGAGCGTGATTTTTCTATCTTGCTTTTTTTATGTGCTTGGGACCCACTTGTAAGTGTCATGTTTTTGTCTCTTTTATTACTAGAGTTGTAAAGAGGGCCAAAATTGTCCAGAAAAATGTCTAACTAACGGTCAAACCCCTTTGACCGGACGAAATTGGGACAAAAGGGTAAAAGCATAAGGGGGCTAGACGCACTTGGGCAAGACCAAGGGTTTTTTGAAATTAGGGGCAAACCTAAGGGCATAAAATAATTTATTCCTTAATAATTATCATTCATGTAATGAATTTTTTGATCTAAGAATCTGAATTGATACATGTACATAAATGCATATTATTAACTTAGAAAAAATATGGTACATGTTTCATTGTCTCCTTCTCATTAATTACATAGATTTCAAGGTGTTAATGTCGTGTAAAATTTGGTAATCATTTAGTGGACAAGAAAATCTTCATAATTGCAATAAATTCATTGGAAGAAATCATACTAATGGGATTGATTTACTTATACTCTACTCCATCCATTCCTAGATATAAATCAAAATTTTATCCTAAATAAATGGTGACAACGATATGGTATCGACTCTACCAACCAAAAGGAGGAGTCCCATTTCTTGTTGGGCGAAGCCAGATCAACATCGCAAGTCCACCTAATTTGGCCCAAGTTATGTAACTCTACATCGATCAATATCGAAGTGGGCTAGCGAGGGGTCAAAGGGAATTCGATACAACTTCATCAAGGGTCAGGCCTTTCATTTTGGGGACATGGGGTTCATCGCCGACAACTCTGGCGCTAGATATCGTTTCTCCCTTAGCGATCTAGGGTTCAGGTCATCCTCTGGCGATCGAGCTAGAGTCCACATAAAACCTCGTCGAAGGCCGGAATTTCTTCCGATGGGTGGGAGTCATACGTATATCGGTTGTGCAGACGGGTTTGCATTGTTGATTCGCCATTACAAGACGATGGGGGCAAGCAGGAGCGGGGTGTTGGGGAACACAATATTTCAAAAAAAAAAATCTATGATCATGCAAGATCTATCTAGGAGATGCATAGCAACCAGAGGGGGAGAGTGTGTCTACGTACCCTTGTAGACCGATAGTGGAAGCGTTTGACAACATGGTTGATGTAGTCGAACTTCTTCTGGTTC